AGATTGCTCGTATCAGGGCGAAGCCCTGAAAGTTCCGACTGCCTTTTAACGTTTATGGAGCAGTAATAACATAAACAACATAAAAGAATTAAATAAAACAAAATAAAATGAAATTTTTTTTTCTTAAATTTTAAATTTTTCATGAAAATCATACCCCCACACGCCATATAAAGTACAAAAGGATAAGTTTTGCTCCTTGTAACAAATCAATTATGGCAAATAAGCTTCTTCCAACCAATTTGGAACGATTTCGATTACGGATTAAATCTCCGCTTACGCGTTAATAGCGCGAAATATATCGCGCGTTAATTGTCCCAAATTGGTCAAAATGGCCAAAATGGTAATCTTTAAACCCTCATAACTTTACGAAAAATGATCACAAGTGAAATATCTTTTCAAATTCAAACTCAGAACAACAATGGCTTTCGAATGATAGATAAAAAAAAATTTGTCGAAAATGGCTAGTTAAAAAGACGAAATTTGACTGAAGAAAAAAAAAACCCAGCCCGAGCACAAATATTCCGTTACTTTCGTATCGAAAGTCGGAACAACAAGACTGCTCGTATCAGGTCGCAGCCTTGAATGTTCCGACTGCCTTTTAAGGTTTATGGAGCAGTAATAACATTTAAAAAATTCAATGAAATAAAACAAAATGAAAAAAAAATTTCTAAATTTGAAATTTTTTTATGAAAATCATCGCCCCACACGCCATATAAAGTACAAAAGGATAGATTTCGCTCCTTGTAACAAACCAATATGGCAAATAAGCTTCTTTTAACCAATTTGGAGCGATTTCTAAGACGGATTAACTCTCCGCCTACGCGTTAATAGCGCGAAATATATCGCACGTTAATTGTCACGAATTGGCCAAAATAGCAAACTTTAAACCCCCGTAACTCTACGAAAAATGATCACAAGTGAAATATGTTTTCAAATTTGAGGTCAGGAAAACAATACTTTTCGAATGATATAAAAACATTCTGTCAAAAATGGCTAGTTAAAATGTCGAAATTTGTCTGAAGAAAAAAACCCACCCCGAGCACAAATATTCCGTTACTTTCGTATCGAAAGTCGGAACAACAACAAGCTATGCTAAGCACAAATTGATTTATTTAGATTCTTGTAACAAAACATTAAAACTGAATAGCTTGTCTCAATTTTCTCAACTTATTCAGAAATTTTTTCTGAGCTGTTTTCACTTATCATCCACACGTTAACTGCGCGAGGCAGATCCCGAAATATTTTTCCTCATTTAACAGTTTGCAAATTTTTGTATTCTTACTTATAAAATTAACATGTGAATCTGAACATTAGAATACTTCTCAATTGATTCGAAGTTTTCCGTGTTCAGAGCTAGTTAAAAACCTTAAGTAAAAGTTAAGACAATTAAAAATTTATCTCAGTTAATCAAACACAAGAATCACATTTTTCCCGTCACTTTCTTTGCGTACATGATAGTCATTTCTTCCGATTCTATAAAGAAAACGGCTGCTTGTTTTTCTCAAAATAGATGGCGAAAAATCTTTCAGACCAGTGTAACAATTCATTACTTTTATGTATCACAAAACCGAAGCGATGAAGTGATTAGACTTCGTTACTGAGAGACATGCCGTCACCAACTAATGTTTCAAGTAAAAGTTTTGATCCGACGGTCCAAAAAAATCATCAAACTAATCAGTGCGGGATAGTTTCTTCTTGCCATCTGATAGCTTCTGATAGTTTTCCTCAAATTTGCTCAATGCCAGAAAATTTCAGATAGTTCACGAGACACTTTTCGAATTCCGACATGAAACTGATTAAAAAATAATGAAGACTTAAAAAAGTATATACAAAAAAAAGCAATTTTATTTTTAAAAAGTGTTTTTCCAATCGTTTTGCTTTAAAAAATTGTTATGAAAACAGAGAAGTTCAATTTCATTCAAATGGCTTGACTTTCTCATTGGTTGCTACAAAGATAGAGAAAAAACATAAACAAAACAATTCAAGAAAAATGAAAAATTAACTATAGTTAAACAAAAATTGTCCGATCAGCTCATGAAACTTTACTTTACTAAATAACATCGAAAACCATTAATTTTTCCCAAACTGCGAGGTTATTTTAGCGTGGTGTGATTTTAATACATTAATCACAATTCAATACAGTTGTATCCGAAAAAAAATTGATTTTCTTGAGTTTTTTGTAGTTTATTTTGACAACGAACTGCTACACAAAGCTTCAAAAACTTGTTTCCAAGCGCAAAAGTTATTTTTTAAGCGTAATAAAAAAACGATTAATTTTCATCTAAAAAACGTTACTCATTTGCCTCAGTTCAATGGTGTCCAGTAAGAAACAGTAGCGGACTTAGGGTGCAGCGCGTCCCAGGGATTAGGCCCCTTGGCCACCTAAAGATCTTTTTGAGCCATTATTCGAAATATATTTTTGGTCAACCAAGACCCCCTTAACCCTCTTAGCGCCAAAATTAACTAAAGTTGAGCGCGAGAATCGGTCGAAAACTTAAGTTTGCGGTCAGAACCTTTCGAAAAAATGCCGAAAAATGTCATTTTTGTCCTAGTTGAATTCAAAAACTTTGTGATAAATAGACAGTTAGTTTTGGAAGAGCTGCGCAGAAAAGATTGTTTTGGATAGTTTTCTAAGCGGCGCAAAAAATTTTAATTTGGAAGAGTTTGCAATATGTATCTGTCGACCTTCGACCTAATGATAACTTGGATCAAATCTTCGATATTACACCATTTCAAAGCCAATTGAACAATCGGTAATTTGAAAAAAATTATAGGTAACTTCCATTGAAGGAACATTTATTTCGTAAGTTCTAAAGAGTAGAAAAACGATGGAGTAATCACAAGTGACTTCAATTGAAAACATTTTATCTCAAATGAATAAGAACAGAATATAATATACAGAATCAACGGTTTTTATGCAACATCCATTGTTCATCCATCTATTTTATTCCTGACCAAACAATCCAGGATATATGTCAACGTATGATTGCACCAACCAACATACTTCTGTGGGGTAATATCACAACTTGTTCGTTCCACAATAGATTTGACATGACGGAAACGGGAATCCTGAAGTGTTTGTCCTGGCTCCTTCAAGGCATCAGCACTGATAAACAAATCCGTCTCTTCTTGCAGTTTTCGTTTCATAGCCGCTTTCCAGAAAATGCAGCTTCAACCGAAGTTAGAAATGGGCTGTACTTTGGGAGCCTCTTCAGAAGGAATATTCCACTGAGGTCCATATCTTCGATTCCTCTGTGCCCGGGAGCATTGTCAAAAATGCAAAATCCATCAGCATTGTCCCTTCGTCAAGGATAATGTTTCCACATAGAACTTCGAGAACATTTTTGAAAATTACCTTCTCCATTCCCCCTTGAATTACCTGATAATGCAAAAGGCCTTCCGTGGAAACTGCGCAACAGATTGTAACATTGGGTCCTTTCTGGGCACTGACCTTTCTATAAACGCTGTCACCCTTAGCAGATCGCCCTTGAGTACGCCGCATGTGGATATTTACACCAAATTCATACACAAAATTCATCCTGGACAATCTCTCGCAATCTTGAAAGTGATCATTCTCCCTTTTAATGCTTTTGATAGTGCTTGCTGGGTAAAATTGGGTTTTTGGGGTAAGCGCGCTCTCAACGCAAAGTTCACTTGTTGTAATGTCATCAGTGGATTGCCCTCCAGAATGTCAAAAGCCCGCAAAATAACTTCTTCGTCAGTTTTCAGATTGTATAATCCAACTTTTCGTAAATTTTCATATCTCCCACGTCGCACAATTGTATACGCAGTGTTCCGATTTATTCCCAAACAGTCGGCCAAAGCTATATAATCTTCTCCACGGGAATGCGATTCGATTAGACGTCGTTTGTCGATACATGAAATTTTTTTATACATGGCCATTTTGAGCGTGATTCAATTGGAATTTCGCGATTTCAAAAGAACTTATGAACACACAGTTGAGCATGCATTATTTCTTGACTTTCAATTGAAAATACGTTATGTTCAAAAGATGTCACTAACATTTTAATAGTAAAAAAAATGGATTTCTTGAGCTACGCCTGGGATCCCATCTGAGAGCCTGATTACAAAACTTTGACATGTTAAGCCGTATGAATTGTTCGATCCTTGATAAATTCTTAGCAGCCGCGTGGGTCGTCTTCACTCTTCCAACATTGGCAGTTTTGATTTCACACCAATAATGTGCTTTTTGAACTCAAAAATTAAGCAAAAGTTGACTGATAAGTTTCAGTTTTTAAGTCTTCTTTCTAACTGGATTCCTGGTTCAATCATTTTTATCCATTTACTTAAAGGCAATTAAATTTAGCAGTTAAAACTTTTCGAGGAGTTTGCCGAACATTTGTAGCTTATCCTGGTCAAAGATCATGATCAAGCTTTCTTCTCGACTAAGTTGAGCCTTTGCCTATGTTTAGATTTTGCTGGCGACTATGTTCAGATCTTGTTCTTGATGTCAAACCCCGCGAGGAATTTGAATTTTGATCTTCAGCTGTGAAATCAGAGTGCGTCTTTGGAAGTCGTAACATTCGTGACACTCTCTGGACACCCTGTCATTTTTTATGCCACTCGAGTTTATTTATGCAGATCTGTGGCTATGAATGTTTCCACGAACTCTGATATCCCATCAGTGCTGAAAATCTCTGTTCCAGCTGCGACAATCAGTCTAATAACTAATGTGATTTTTGCACCAAAAACTTATTCTCGCTATAAATTTTATCACATAGATTCTAACTTACAGAAAAACTTTTTGCCTCTTTCAAAAATAGCCGTAGCTCCACCGTCTGGCTTTTCTGCCGTTTCCATTACACGGAATGAAATTATCAAATCTATTGTGTAATCATTAATGAAATATGAGATGAAAATGAGCTTATAATTAGGCACTGAAAACCAGATGCCAATGTTTAAAAATTTTCAAATTGTTTTTAGCTGAGCCAAAAAATTATTCAATAAGAAAAACAAAATTTATTTTAATTCGACTTAACTAAAATCAGCATGCTTTTTTATTAAATAATTATTTATAAAATCCGATGTCTCTTTTTTAATCAAAACTTGTTTCATCTTCGGCCTTTTTTTCAATAGTGAAAACTGGAATTTGTCTGTTGGACCTCGGAACTAAAAGATCGTTTCCACTTTGCTGTGAAGATTTGGCCGATGGAGATTCTTTAACATAGCAATTCACGTAAGTTGTCAACTCTCGGTGCTCCACGCCCCTTTTCGTAGGAGAAGCGCGGTTGAAATTGTGCGTAACAGGATTTAAAGTACTTCCATTGTTTTTGGACGTGGTTATGGCGTTCTTGGGTATTTTGGAGAGCCAGTTCCAGGAGCTGCGGAGGAAGTAAACGGAGAACACGATGATTTCGAGGAACTCCATCAGCGTGATTACTGAGATGCCGACCCACAGTCCAAGAACTCCTCCGATCTCAGCAAGCAGCTTCTCAAACTAAACATTCATTCGTATGTCATGAAACAACAATCTACCTAAGTTGCGATTACCCAAAAACATCATTTAAATTTTTTTTGAATTAAATTCAAATCATGAATAGCTGACTGCTGTGCTAATAACAAAGAAAGAGACCGACAACACCGATTGGATTAAAGAAGTCCAGAAAAATCCAAAACGTTTTTTTTCTTCAATTTCCCCTAATTTGCAGTTTTTTTTCGGTAAGGGGCGATTACAACAGGTCAAAAAAAATGGTTTAAAAAATTAGGTCAATCAAAAGAATGTACAAATTGCTGCAGAAACTGAAGCTCTCCTTTTGTCGTTTTGGTTTGAAGAACAGAAAAATCCAGACCAGTTTTCTGTGCACGGAGACAATTTTTTTTAATTTTTTTTTTGCAGCTGGTGAGTAGCGACCGATTGGTTTTAATATGCCGCCACTACGATTTTTGCTGTGGTCAAAATTGGGATGAAAAAGCACTATCTATGCCATAGTTCCTCCTTTCACTATGTGAAATGGACTGAAATGAACTAAATTTGGCAAAGGTATCACAACCTACTTTAAGCATTGATTAACTAAAATAGCATCTTAAATAGTAACTTCAAGAAACGCTTCCAAAGGCAAAACTGATTGGTGGTTAGTGAAAAGGAGACCACTACTATTTTGACCAAATTAAAAACTCTGCCAATGACGTTTTCAGTTCTCATTAGCAAATTGTGCGAAACATAGCCAGCAGACAGTATGAAAGGAGTCATAAACGAAAAGAAACAGAAAAAAAATAACATGTTAGAAAAAAACTTCAAGTTAAAAATGTTTTAAAAAATTTTGCCCTTGAAGTTCTTTGAATTTCAAGGACAATTTAGGTTGAGACTTTTTTGACACACTTTACCCAACTTGACCCAACTTGAGAAAACTGGATCAATAGGTTAAAATGTTTCCGCTGGGAAATCCGAAAGTTAAAATCCACGTTAAAAATCTAGAAATTGATCACGTTTTTCATGACCTTTACACTTTTGCTGTTCGATAAAAATTGGCCTTACTTTAATTCAACGAAAGGAGCTGAACTTAAAAAGAATTCAAACGCCAAACCGCAAAAAAATCTAATTTGATCGTGAACAATTTTTCAGACTTCTTCACAAAAAAATCACCATGACCTAAATAAAGAGTGTTCACTAGGTTCATGACTCTAAATAACAATGGAAATGTACCAACCTGTATCTCTGGCTTTTCTGTCTGAATTTCATGGTCATTCACTGCTTCTGTCACGTGAATCGTCGCATACATCGACCTTGAACAATTATTCAGTTGCAATAACTTAAAACTTATAAAGTAATAACCAAACAACAAAGAAAAAAGGCATGAAAGACTTAATAAAGTGGCACAAAAACGGTTAGCCGTTATCAGTTGAACAGGTTTTTCTTGGTATTTTTCCTCGTGAAATAGTGGGCTTATCGCAATGAACATCTTCATGTCTTAAAGCACTGTGGTTCCTTTTTCTGCTTTAAAACACAAACCAGCTAATTATTTTGGGAAGAAAAAAAACAATCAGCAAACTTGATTTATCTGAAGCAAACACCATGTACCATGAATGTTGTTAACTCAGTCAATCGGAATCAGGGGCGGATCTAGGATTTTCACGAGGGGGGGGGCGGATTTTCAAAAAAATTTCGAAAATTTTGACGACCTTTTTTTTTAGGTCGACCAAATTGATTTTCCAAGCTCTCCTAAAGCAGTATTAAAACGCTGTTTTGGCCAATATTTTGAAAAAAAAACAGGTGAAAAGCCATTTTTGAGCTCTTTTTGGAAAATTTTGACAAAAAAATTGCGTTTTTTTGGGCGCGCGCTCCCCCTCAAAGTTAGTATATATTGGCGCCCGAGGCGCCTTTAGAAAAATTTTAGGTTCTGTCGGCCAAAAATGGATTTCTTAAAAAGTACCGAAGGGGGACCCTTTGGGTCGGCAGGGGGTCGAATCCCTGAGGGAGGAAGGCGTCCGCCCCCCCCCCCCCCCTAAGTCCGCACCTGATCGGAATCCTAACTTGCTCTCGAACCCTTGAATTATAATTTAGAAGTCACCTTATCTTGTCGAGTAAATCATTGATGCCATCTTGTTTTTTGATCTCATCGAACCACTTGAGTGGATTATAGTGAATAAAACAAGAGACCAGACTGTATACATTAACATCTGGATTTTTGTTCAAAATCTGTTCACATGAGGGGTATTGTGAACTGTTGAAGAGGTGGGCGAGGTCTGACAGGAATGTCTTGGAGTCGTTGCGCACGAGGGAGTTGCTGCTGCGCATCAAACTCAACAGTTCTGGAACCTATATGAAATAAATAGAAATTATGGAATTTCCCTTTGGTACTATTTTACGACAATCAAACCCTAATAATATCCCAGGATGCTTTCGGCATTACTAAGAGAGGGGAGTGCACGCCGCTCCAAAAATTTGACAACATTCGTTTAAAACGGCTCACAAAGATCAACTAGATTTCAGCAAACTCCGGATAGAAATTGATAAAAATCGAAGATATCGAATTCGCTCGAGCAAATATGAGGATATCAAACGAACAGCCTTTTTGGATTTTCCTAATGCTCCAAAATTATCTCATTTTATGAGACCTATATGCGCCTGTGATGGTCGAGCAATTGAGTGATTATTGCAAAACAAGTTGGATCATTGTTTTAGAAAAATGTTTTCGTCAACACTGCCATCATCAGTCATATAAAACCAACAATTATCCAAAAACCAAATCAAAAAAATTACCGGAAGAAAAAAGAGGGAAAATGAAAACAAAAACAGCAAATTGTGAGTTGGAAAAACAATTTATGATTCTGAGTGATCATCTTGACTAACTAGACATACTATTGAGTTGATGTGTGGGTACTTGGCAGCCGATAGAGCCAACTCGTACTGGGTGTCCCGGCATGGCAAGTGACACCTCTGATCGCACTTATGAGGAACTGCGTGGTCCACTTTACGAGAGGAGTACTGTTGCCAACAGAGATCTAAGAAGAAAAGACGACTTTTGTAAAATGGTTTCCACATTCACTAAGTGGTTCCACTGGCCACTTTTTTTCTACTTTTGTTTTTATGATTCCATTCCACAAATTGGAATTAAGTCGTTTTCCTCCTCCTTCTAAGTTGAACCACTAGTTTGAAAATTTTTGGGCCACTCTAATTTGTCTGGTGATGTTGTTGCCTAAAGTCGTTTGGCTGGCTTTAGAGGTGTTTGATTTCTCTAATTCGGTAGGTTTTTATACAGTGCTTATTGTAGTTATCCCGACAAAACGCATTAAACTTGAATATTAAAATGCATATTTTTCCCGAAGTGAGTTGACCTTAGTTGAAAAACGATGCAGACAAATCTTTTGGCTTTTAGAAGTTCGAATTTTAGGGACTGAAATTGAACGTCTTTTTTTCTCCCCCCCCCCCCCCCCCCCCCACCTTGCACGGTCATCAATTTTTTGATGTAATGAGTAGATTAACAAGGTTAATTATGAAGGTTGAAAATATTTGTCATGGTGCAATTTGTCCGCGCGTCAATTTTCATAACAATAGGAGAATGTGAAAAAAATTGAGTTGTTAAATTTGATGGTGGAGGGAAAGAAAAATGTACCCATCCCCCCACACCGCTATGCAAAATGACGTTTTAATTCACAAAATTTGTAATTAACAGAAAAAAAACATCAACGAACTCGAAGAAAAAAGGAACTTTTTTCAAATTCTGCGCTCAAAATTGTCTTGTGATCTCATCATTTTTCAGAAAAAAATCAGAAAACTGGAAGTTTAAAAACTTAGTTTAAACCATAATTTATAACAACAAGGATATCCAGTTACTGCGCAATAAGCACAGAATTTTCCGACCGTTGTCTTTAAAATAATCAAAAAAAATTCAAATAAGAGTAGTTTCTTTGCGTGGTTTGATAAAAGGATCTGATTTAAAAAATAAAAGTAGGCATATTTGACAGTCAGAGTAAAAGAGGCACTTTGGATAACAGTTTTGCGAGAGAAAAACAAAACAATCATGAAATTGAAACAGTTTTAAAAAAAAATCCAATTGAATCGACGTAATTTTTTTTGAACTTTTGAACTTTTTAAATGCCAGAAAAAAAACGCCAAAATTTTTTCCTCGAGTAAAACTAAACATTCACAGCTTGAAATTAAAGGTCCTAATAGCTCTGCAATAATATGTTTGGCTATAGGAGGCTCCTCTCTTGCACTCATTTTTGCAAACTGGTGGGTTGAAGATTGCAAACCCGTGCTGAAGAAAAAGATTCCCGAGATTTGCAAGCCCACGGAAGTTTTAATTGGCGTCCGTCCAAAATGTTCGAAATATTCTAAAGGCAAAGAAGAGCTGTGAAAGTTGGCTACAATGGTTCCATCAAAAGTAGAGTATGGTTCAGTCTAATAATTATTAGAAAGTAGCCAATATGATCTGGTTTCGCTCTTCAAGCTGAGTTCAAAAAACGATACCAACTTTCAGAGTTGAAAAAATTTTCAAAGAGGAATGTGGATGACATCATGAGAACTGTAAAAGGAGACCCGGTGAATATATCGAACGCTGCAATTAATTTACTTCCTTATCTGCAGATTGCTCTAGAAAAGGCTCACAAAAACAGAAATTTAGAATCTATATTTGTCCAATATTTCCAAACAGAAATAACTTCTTCGATATTCTCGAATCAAACTATTTAATCAATAATTCTGCCTGTTTTATCCAAGCCGCCAGTTCAACCTAAAAATACCAAAACATTTGTGAATAACTGAAAAAAAATTACCACATCCACCCACATGGCTTTTTTATGATAGAAATCCTTGGTTATTGTGTTTTGAGATTAAAACACAAACTTTTGAAGCTTTTTTTTTGCAATTTAATCATGAAAAAAGCCTATCATACAATTTCATGGAATAAAAAAAATGTTTTGCTATTTCGGCACTTTTTTGATACATATAAATGCAAAAAGTTGCTATTTAGTCCCGGAGTGTGGTAAAAAACACTTGTTATGAAATTTCATAGCAAGGGAAAAAAGATTATTTGTGCCATTTTCATATAATCGGTTCTCAGTAATCTAATGGAATGTTGTGAGTGTCTTATAACTTCTCTATTTTTTCGAAAGATTTGCCCTGACGCATGTTTATGAGAAAACTCAGGGTTTGCTTCTTACATCTGGCTTTTGGCCAAAAAAGCAGAGCGTTTTTCAAATTGATGAGGGTGCATTTTTGGTTACTAATATATAACTAGTAACAGTAAGTTGGAACAAACAGAAATAATTACAAAGCGCAATCTACCAATTTTGAGCACTTTTGGATGCAAATTTGAATTGTTACGTAACATTGAGTCATACTTTCTGTCTGACAAATTAGCTTTTGTAAAAAAAAAGTTTTCTGAAATAGCTTATTTGCTCTTTTTAGTTAATTTTGTCTGTTGCTACTTTTTGCAACTCTCTTTAACCACCAGTAGAAATTTGCGGCGACGCAGACATTTTTGTGGATTGCAAACCGACTGCCGAGTTTAGAATCGTTTCAATTTTTTGATTTATTGAAATGTACACTTTTATGTTCATAATATGAACAGCTTTGAAACAATTCGCTCTGAAAGAATGAATGAATAACAGACAAAACCTTTTGTCTCTTAATCTAAGTTTAGTAAATTGCACCATTTGAAAACTGTGGAGTGAGCAATCATGAAAAGATTGCATCTAATCTCTCACAAAAATTGTTACAACACTGATAAGTAAATTGAACTTTGAGTCAAATAACACTTTGAGCACTTAGACATGAAGACATTAGGGCATTTTTGTGCTTGTCGATTACCTCCACATACAAAAGCAAATGGATCATAATTGATTTTTTATGGTGTTTAGGCTTCTCGAATGGCAAATCACAACTCTCAGTCTCGGAGACGAAGATTTTACTTTAAATCACCATTAATTACCATCTGATACCGTCGTTCTCGAGCGAGATCAAATTAGACGTATAACAAAAAAGCTATGAAATATCCCTTCTTCTCGATAAACTAAAGATAGACCCTAGATGCTCATGTGTCTGATGTTTGATAACAACGGATGCAAAAAGTTAGCGTCAGTTATAACTGTGCGCTAAAGTTTCGATGTTTGCAAATTTTATGGATGGACTGTGAGTTTTTGAATGACGACATGTTTGAAACAAAGTCGGTCAAAACAAGAAGCCAGGCCACTTCGGTCGAAAGGTAAAGACGAACCCCCGTCAGAGGTGTTACCAGCTTTGCCGTCATCAGCGTCAAAGAGTGTCACTAACTAACTATACCGTGCTTCTATTGTCACGTGCCCCTATTGCCAATCACTTGCACCAATTGTGAGGAATTATTTCCCCGTGCCAATTGACTTACGATGCGATCCATTTTCGGCCAGCATGCATTTCTGTCTTTGAGGGTAGATGTTTTTATAGAGAACAGACAGAGCACACCCACATTCATCGTAGAGAGAATCCTCGATGCAGAGTTTGCGACACACCTTAAAATCAAATAAAAAATTCTGCAAATCAAATTCTCAAATACATCAAAAATAGCTACAAAAAATCTGGAAAAAGATCGTTTGATACAATCAGTAATCATAGTATTTGTGCAAGATATTTAGTATGCAAAAAATGTTTTAAAAAAATAAGTTTGAGTAAAATTATGAGTATAAGACAAGCCTTTGGTAAGTCGTTAAAAACTATCTCTCACTTTGTCGCTGTATGCCAGTCCATCCAGCTGACGACTCTGAAGAGGCCACACATCGCTACAGTGTTCACGCCTGTTGTCGTACCGAAGAAGTGCCTTCTAAAATCGAGCATAGAAATTTTTAAACTGAAGAATTGATGCATGTCGCATTTTTGCCAAAAAAAATTACCCTATGATATTATTGTAGAAATAAGAAAAGGATAAATCTCATACAATTAATTAGTTCAATTTTAGTTAGAGAGCCCCAATATAAAGTGTTTTTGTAGGAACGTGCTACGTTCCTGATACTACGTTTCTGATACTACCAAAAGCATCTATTTAAGTCTCCAGTTCGTCGCTACTTTATTTTTTTTCAACAGGTTGCATTTTTTGCAATAGAAAAGCATACACAAAAGAGAACCAACAACTTTGTTATTATGTCATTAACAACTATCTCGAAAAAAATTATCAATAAACTCAAGAAACAACGAACTGTGTTCAAATTTTGAAGGAATCATACTCTAGATCCAATTTACCTGGTTGAATCTGATAAGGGCATCGATGCCCAGAGGCGTGAACAACCCTCTGTCTTCGGCAAAAGAGGGCAGTTGGTTTGCATCGTGAACAGATATGCGGATTGCTTTAGTGGCTGCTCTCGCTTTTTCGGAGGTCTCGGGCAACCTCACTTTTAACTTGAGACCTAAATGATTCATTGTTAGATTGGTTTCTGTAAAAGTAAGTATGAAAGATTGGTCCAGTGATTTTTTGCAAAACGGAAAAGGACAGCCACCGAAGATTTTAAGGCAACTGATACTTGCTCTTTAGAAACGCAGAAATAATTAGATATTCTTTTAATTCTGCTATCTGACGTTTTTTGGCGTCATAAGTTGTAAGTCATGCTGAGCAGGTTCCCAGAGAACTAATTTGAGCCCATTAATTCGAATTTTTTTGTAATGTTCGCGAAAATGTTTACACAGCAAGAACATCTCTAAAACAGGTTATGAGATACTGTCTAATTCAGGCCAGAATCTTCAGGCCAGAATCTCATAAGATACTTGCTCGTTGAAATCAAAAAGCAACTTGTCCCGTGACTGTAGCAAAGATGTTAGGCTAGATATCTTGTTACTGTCGGTTTCTAGACTGGAAAACTTTGTTGAGCGAAACTCTTTTAGCGACCTTATATCTCATTCTTCCTTATTTTTGGTATACTTTTGATAAATTCAAACCCTACGTCAAAGATTCTATTTTTTTGTGTATTTCAGAGCTTCAGTATAACAAAAATATCAAAAGCATATAAGAAACGGTAAGAAATGTGTTTCAAATGACAGCCCCACACCCCGCATAAAAGAAATTATATTAGGTCATCGATTTATTTTACCTGGGGCTTTATTCGAAAATATTGCTTGTTATTGCTAATGCGTTTTTTCTGGGGAGGCAACTAAAAAATTACATAATAAAATGAAATCTTCCTTGAACCCTCAACTTACCAGGGAGTCCCTTCGGCGAGTCTTGTGGCGTGTCAGAATATTCGGGAGACTGGAAGGTGAAACAGTTGCCATAAGAGTCACTCTTCTGAACTGAAAAGTCACTGAAACAAACAAGAAGCTGCAGCTTTCCGAAAAGCACAAAGTTACGCAAAATGCCGAAACAAGACGATGTTTAACGCAAAGCGTATCAAAATTTACCAAAAACAGAACTTCGGAGTACGTTTTTTGGCAAAAAAAAATATTTATGAGAAGCATTTTACGGTAGCTACTTTTTTCAGCTTCCACCCTTCGTGAATACGAACAACAGTTTTCTGAACATACAAATTTTCGAACAATCGTAATTAAGTTTATTCAAATCTGGTTATTTGTTAACTTTGCCATGATCCAATGTATTTCATAACATCAGAGAAGCTTTTAAATAGGCTTTCATAAGTTTAATTTGCAGAGAAAATGAAAAAAAAAAGAGTTTCGGGTAAAACACAATCAACGTAACCTGAAATTGCATGGCTTCCCTCTGAAAGAGCAGTCGAAGAAGTAGCTCTCCGGGTGGAGTTTGGACATGGCGTATGACTTGTGGGGTCCAGAGTATGACATCATTTCTTGCAATTCCAGGAAATCGGAGAAGTTGTAGCGTCCGGGGTAGCGCATAGAGAAAAAGTAGGGGCATGCACTGACCATTGTGGAAATTTTAATTATTATTTCAGCAAAAAAAATCTGCAATTGCTCCAAAACTGAGTCCACTTTGTTTGAATGGCGAGGGCGCACGATCCCACCTTTAAACCCGTCACTGCTTTAACATACTTTAATCAACATACTTGCAATGCTTCTTCTATATTTGTTGGATTTTCAGAAGAAAAAAAATATTTATTTTTCCATGTTTAAATAGTGCTCCTCTAAAATACATTGAATCCAAAAAATCTTTTGAAATACATTAAATCCAAAAACCGATCGATTTTTTAGATACCATTAATAATTATAATCTGACACAAAAGATAAGATGCCGTTTTGTTTTTAATTGTCTGATGTATTTGTTGCCCCTACATGTAATCGGTGATGTTGAACATCTGTTCCTTTAGTTCGTACCAGATGTCGACCATGTGTTCGGCGGAGATGTTGCCGACGTTGTAGGCCTCCATGATCTCGGGGATCTTGTTGATATCCGTCTCTGTGCTGATATCCACTGAAACAAAAGACGACACAGGAGGTCATGCTCGAATTGCTATTTCTAGACAAAAAAACTGAATAATAAAGCTGTTTATCTTTAGACAAGCTACAGGTTTTAGCTACCGACTTTGGATTTAAAAAAAACTATTGAACGTGAACCTATAAAAAAGCAAATATAAACTTTTTCATCGTTACTCAGGAAGGCTAAGTTACTCAAGTACAGTCTGAGATAGACTTTAGGAGTCCGCTTTCAACTGACCTTGCTGAGCTGTGATGTGTTCTTTCGCCAGTTTAGTCAATTCCACGAAGTATGGACTCGGCTCAACATCATCAGGAACAAAGAACTCACTGCAAAAGGTAATATACGGAAATTGGGGCAATTTTTCCTCCCTCAGCGCAATTGAAACTGTCTTTCCATAACTCAGATATTGACCAATCAGTGTCCAGCACTGGCTGCTGACCATAAACATGGACAGAAAGAAGGTCAGGATCCAGAAGATTGACCTTTTACGCGGTCCCGATCCAATTCTCTCCATTCCATGGGCGGTGGAGTCCTCGAGGAGCAAGGAAATTTCCTGAATGAAAAGATGCAAAAATTTCATTCTGGCGCTTTTGTTTCCGCTTCTGGAATCCATGAAATTAATATCAGAGTTTGTATGCTAAAGTTTCCAAATTTTCTAAGCTAAAAATTCCGAAATCGGGTGGTCTGAATAATGAAGGAAGAATTGTAAGAATCAAAATTGTTTCTTCGTCTGTTTGGATCAGCAAAACAGATTTATATTGACAACATTGTCCATTATTAGCCTGACCAGAAAACTCATTGGGCGGAAAGTTACTCCTCCTGATAAAAAATGTTTTCTGGGGTAAAGCAATATTTTACATTAACTGTAAAGGTATTATTGAGATTTAACACAGTGGCTTGTTTTTTTACAAACCATTTTAAAGGAAATTGCATAGTTTTTAACTCAATGGGTTCTTTATTTTAAAAGTGGAAAAACGTAAATTGGATGCAAAAAGAAGCAAAAATGAACTTGTAGTAAAATAAGAAACATTACTCGAGGGAAATAACTGTCGAATTTGCGTCATTTTGTTCAGTGAAAGGAGCTTTTCAACTCAAGTACAATGCAAGAGTAGTTGTCATTTGAACGCTCAAAGCAGATGTTAAAAAAACCACTACCGTGAAAAAAAAATTGTTCACGCCACAATGGTTAAGTTGCTAGGGTACAGATCTTCGCCTTTTTTCTTTACGGATAAATAAACGGTAATTTGTGTCGCAAAAGTAGCGGAACTGGAACTTTTACACTTTTGTTAATTAGATAAAAGTAATTTAATATGAGATGCTAATAGGTTGGAGACTGCACAAAAACTGCACCTGGGGCTCGTTAAACTTATTTGAAGTATCTTTTGAGATCCCTTTGGGAATCTAACAAGGAAAAGGAGACTTTATATTATACAATATAACTCATTACTGCGTTCACAATTCACCGCATATTTCGGAGGTTCGTCTTTTTTACAAAAAAAACTGAAAACAGACCTAATTAAGTTAAAGTATGTAGGCAGACCAAAAACATGTCAATCGATATTTGAGTTTGACAACGGCTCATTGAAATTGAAGTATGCTCGCTATTTGATCTGCATATGTTGTCAATTAGAGAGTTTGAACCAACCAGTCCCGATGCAAAAATAATCCAATTGCTATCTGATGTTACATTAGGCAAATTATTTCCCCAGTGATCACAGATTTTCTAAAATGAAGTTGGACCAAAATTTACAAAAGAAAAGATTTGGTTTTATTTCATGTAAAGAGAACGGCATTCCTGCGCAAACCTTTCAATATTGACATACGGTTGGAATCAAAAAACACGGACTGATTATTAGTTACCCCCGGATAGGGTTATCGTACTCAATTTTTGACGATAGATGCAATATATTCCGAGAAAGTCAGAAGAAAACGTTGAAACTTTCAATGGTTTAAGTAGTATATGTTGGGGCAGTTCAAGGGGGGGGGGGCTGAGGACCCCCATGTATTAACATAGGCTATAGAGTATCCGGTCCTCACCCTATGTATTAACATAGGCTATAGATTTCCCAATGTATTAAGATAGGGAATAGGTTTCCCAATGTATTAAGATACGAGGTTTCAGATGGTAAGATGGTAAGTTTCAGAAAATTTTTCGGCGCCCGAATTTCCCATGTATAGATTTCCCTATGTCTAAGAAATTCTTTGTAGGTAATTAAGAACTCATTAGGGAATAGATTTCCCTATGTATTAAGATAGGGAATAGGTTTCCTATGTATTAGGATGGTAAGGTTTCAGATGGTAAGATGGTAAAGTTTCAGATGGTAAGTTTCAAAAAAATTTTGGCAACCGAGTTTTTTGAGCTCGATTTTGCCGATACTTGCGTTTCTTAGCTAGCTTCTACTGTTTAGATGTTTTGGTTATTGTTTTATAGGTTTGATTCAACGAGAAAGCTATCTAAAAGCCATATTGAAACCTAACGAAACTTCGAGAAAAAAATCATATTTTTTGAAAAAAAATTTGGTGCTTGTGTGGAAATGTCTAGTTTTTTCGCAAAAATTATAGCTCGGATTATCTAATTGTTAGTTAATACTGGTTAATTACGTGTAGGTTGTGAAACTAAGGTTATTTCATCAGTTTTCTTGTACATGGTAAGTCAATGGTAAGAGTTTTTGGGCAAAAACTTGGAGTTTTTGTCACAAAAATTGAAAATTTTTCTTAAAAACTTTAAAACACAAAGTTTTATTGTAATTCGATCTAATTTATTGGATAATCCTATTTTCTATCTACCTGAATTTATGCCGAAACCTACTGAAACTTCGAAAAAAGTCAAATTTTTGGAAAAAATTGCAAAAAAAATTCAAGTTTTTGGGAAAAAAATGCAAAAATTTCAAAGTTTCGGAATAAACTGCAAATTTTTGAAAAGAACTGCAAAAATCTGAAGATTTTGGCTACTGTTTTGTTGCTTCTGATCTAATTGAACAAAAAGTAAATACGTTTAGAGTTTAAAATTAGGCTCAAATTGTATTTCAATTGGTATCATGTTGAGACACTGATACAAAACTTTGAATAGAAATATGGATTTTTCCAAATTTTTCACACAAAAAATTGAAATACGATAAATTTTAGCATTATTTGAGTAACAAAGCGGGTTATTTAATGCTCTCAACATTAACAAGAAAGCTCATAAAAGCTGAATCGAAATTGAAATTTGCGGAAGATAGTGAAAATAACCGTAATTTTCGAGAAAGTAAAATAAAAATTATTCAAATTTGTCAAAAAATTTCCATTTCAACCTTTTAAATGGATAATTAACTGATTTTTTGTCCAATTCAGGGAGAATTGAAATAGAACTCTTAATACAAATGAACATTAAGAGCAATATTTCATAAAAATTCTAGATTTTTGCTCAATGATTAACCCAAATTTGTACAAAAATTACAAATTCAGAGAAGTTATTCATCTTAATAGTACAGAATTTCAGTTCAATGATGAAAAATGAGCAGTTAATTGCAACAATTTGATTAAAATGAGATAAATTTTTCTCAAAAATTTATTCGATATTGGTTCAAATTCAACAAAATCTTCTTCATAACTGATGATTATCTCTCTGTTGCTTCTGCAACATAATTTTCACGATTTTCCGTAGAAATGTTCTATTCTTAAAGTTTATTCTTACTTTCAGCTTAATACATGGTTTCGCTATTGAACACACTTTGCCGGAAAATTTAGTCAGAACTGGAGAATTTAGGGGGAAAACAGTATCAATCGAACGAATAATTTGCTAGCAGAGATGAAATTAGAACTAATACCGTCTGATGATTTGATAAAAATTGTAAATGTCTGCCTCAAGTTTCCCTTAATAGGTGCTACAGTAAACTATTTAAGCAAAAATACAACTTTTGGGATAAATATCTATCACTTTTTTGGAAAAATAGTCAATTTTTCATGATTTTCTGTTGAAATGCTCTATGCTTTAAGGTTATTCCTGCTTTCTGCTTAATGCATGTTTTCGCTATTGAACACATTTTGCAAGAAAATTTAGTCAAAACTGGAGAATTTAGGAGGAAAATGGTATCAATTGAACGAACAATTTGCTGGCAAAGATGAAATTAGAACTGATACCGTCTGATTATTATGATAAAAATTGTAAATGTCTTCCTCAAGTTTCCCTTTTTAGAGGCTACAGTAAACTATTTAAGCAAAAATTTAACTTATGGGATCAATAATTATCATTTTTCTGGAAAACAAAGTCAATTTTTTATGATTTTCTCTAGAAATGCTCTATGTTTTAAGGTTTTCCTTGCTTTCTGCTTAATGCATGTTTTCGCTATTGAACACACTTGGCAAGAAAACTTAGTCAGAACTGGAGAATTTAGGAGAAAAATAGTATCAATTGAACAAACAATTTGCTAGCAGAGATGAAAATAGAATTGACACCATCTGATTATTACGATAAAAATTGTAATTGTCTTCCTCAAAGTTGTCTTGATAGGTGCTAGAGTAACTTATTTCAGCAAAATTACAATTTTTGTGTCAATAACTATCACTTTTCTTGCAAAACAAATATTGAATAGCTTTTTTTTCTTATTTAAAAAGGAATTTTTCTCAAAAATATCGAATTGAGAAAGAATCGGTGCTGGTTAAAACATTCAAAAAAAATATGTAAAAAATGAGAATATAAATGTGTTTTTACAATTTAAGAACAAATTAGGAGCAGCTCTATTAGTTATATTCTGAAAACCTCCGGAAATACGCAAAGGAACCTAGTTCTTAACATCTACAATATCCAAAAACTTCTAAAAGAGCGCGTCTCAAAAAACGATTAAGCAAAGGAAATCAAGGTGCAAACTGGAACAATTGTGTAATTTTCGGATTTTTATTAAGCAAAAGAAAACTCTATATAGTTTAAAAAAAATAATGAAATGTAGATCTTGAAAGCTTTTTTTGCTTATGCTTCATGTATTTTCTTCCAAAAGATGTCGGATTGAGTTTACTTTACAAACACTATCCTCAAAACATCTGATTTTTCATAAAAAGTTACCTTATATATCAAAGGATAACAAACTTTTCTAATGAATTACACATAAATACCAATCTTTGACACTTTTTATGTTGGAGTTTCTCTCAAAATATGGTTTATAAGCTAAATTTTAGTAAAATTATGTCAAAACTTTTATTGAATTAAATGGAGTTTCTATCTCATTTTCTCAGTTTCTAAAATTGAGAATTACTTGAAAATTGAACTTTTGATGGAAAAATATATCGTTTCAACGACCGTTCAACAATCCGAAGCTGAATTAATACCACGAAGCCTTTGCTAAACGTCTTAAAATTATTTTCTCTACTTGATAATATATATTGCTGTTTCAACTCTAAATTTCTTTTTTGAAGTAAATTTTGGGTTGAGAACGATGTATACTATTATCTTGAAATTTTCAAATGTCAGCAAAACATACAGTTTCAAGGTCAGTTATCAATTCCTTTTCTGAAATGTAGAAAAAAAGCAAAAAAAAACCATAATTCTTAGTAAATCAATCTCCAATATCTGCTACG